GTAAATAACGGAGTGAAAATTCTTACAGAGCTCATGTGGTTGAAGGCAAAATTCCCTTCTGCCCGCTGTACTGCCAAAGTACAGTGACGTTTTTTGCCGGAAAGGCTGCCCTTTCAGATGGCTGAACACGCAAATGAGCACAGTGCCTCCCCCCTGAAAACCAGTTATGTACCAGTGCTGGCCAAAGTTGTAGCTGATGCTGAAAACTGACGTGGGCAGAAAGAACGTCACTGTCTCATAGTTCAGCAACATTTAAAACACCTTCAATTTTATCCTGTTTCATTTATACACTTTAATTGTAAAGTCTGTTAACATCTTGCCACAATATTTTGTAATAATGTAAGTTTTGTAAGTTGTATTGCAAAGCAAGCGTTGAGGAAACTTACCTGCTGGGAAGTGTCCACCTCAGTTCTCTTTTATCATTCAATTTTGCCATTTTTGGCACACCTAACCTAGACCCTGATCTGTTATTTCATTGCTGCTTACTGCATTGCACAAACCAGTTTTATTTTCTTCTATCCTTTATGCCCATGGCTGCGAATTATAGCTCCCAAACAACACGGTGCTTTTCTGATTGTAAAAAAGCAGAGCAGTGCTCTATTTTTCTTCCTGTGTATCCATGTTCTTCAGATTCACAGAGTAATGTTCCTAACAACATGGTACTGACTTAATTATTTTGTGAATTGATCGACAACAAATGAGGTCTGTGGCTATGGAAATAGGAAAGGATCGCCTGGCATTAGCTGGTGAGCTGAATGAACTACTCCAAGTTAGCTGCCTCCCAGTGACTGCTGTAATTGCTCTTATCCTCCTGTGAATGCGACGTGCTTGGGGACAGCTCACCCTGCCATACCACGCTCCCCATGATTTCACTAGATCATGAGACCTGTGCTCATGGCAGTGCCCAGGAGGTGAAGGTTTTACACCTATGACTTTTCTGGAGCCATGGGTGGGACCCACCCATCCATTCTTTCAGCAGGGAAGATCTCACTGCAATGTTGCAGGAACTGGTTGATCGCTGCGGGAGGTGTACGGCTGTCCCTGTAAAGCTTCCTCCTAGTGCTGAGAGCTTCAGGAGCTCTGAAGGCTTTTTCTTCAGAGATGCAGAGCTTTTATCCCAGTAGCTTCTAGGCACAACAAAGGCTTTGCTATTTCTCCAGTCATTCTGGTAATGAGATTCAACTGGGAAGAAAGAGAAAGCAGTCAGCACCATACTGTGTTTCACAGGGGCCAAGACACAGAAAGCCAAGGTGGCTGCTGTCTAGAGAAAAACCAGAAACATTATTTAAAGAACCAGGAGCCTAAGTTACCGTCGCAGCACCAGCCTCGTGCCCATAATGGCACAAAAACAGCGCTGGGGAGGAAGCTCTCTTCACTCCATTGGCATGGTTGCCTACCACAAAGTATTTAAAAGCAGCAGTCATCTTCCTTGCTTGGACCTCAGGGAGGGGCTTCGGCCCGTGGGCCGGTTGGCTCCTTCTATTTTAAATTTTCAATAGAAAGCCAGCCTACTCTAGGTCAACGTCCATGGAGATGTCATCGGCACAGTCTATCAGATCAGCTGCGACAGCGCTCCTCCTGCATAAGGTCCACAGAGACGCCGTGAACTTTGCCGGAGGTAAATCGAACGGTTTTCACAGTGGCCACGGGGGCACAGAAGCTGTTGCATGATGTGGTGCCTGTGAAGATGGAACAGAAGCCACTCGCGAGGTTTTTCCAAAGCCTCAGAGTGCCCTTAGTACTGAAACAAGCTTGCAGAATAAGTTTTGGACTTTCTGTGGCCTAATTTGCGCGGGCCAGCAGCAGGCATCCCAGTGTTTACAAAGGGGAGTTGAGCCAGCAGCAGCACAGGAACTGATATGCGGGTAGAAGCAACGAGCAGAGCAGCACAGGACACCAATATGAGGCGCTGCATTTCAAAAAGGTATTAATGCAAACCTGACTTCAAACTCGGTGTTCCTAAATTTGCTGAAAATTTGTAACAAATAAATTTCATTTGCCAATATAAGGAACTTAAGCATGGGCTAGTTCAAGTTAACCTGAAAGAAATGTGAAGTCTGGGCAAGCCCTTTAGTAGATCATGTGGATGCTCGATTCAATGTGTTCTGTGTTTCAATTATCTGTGCCGACCTTTTGGCTGAATTTGTGACTCATTTGTCCTTATCTTAGATAGAAGCCTTCTCTCTTCTCATGCAATTGTCCGGTTTAGGGCTGCCATCTCAAAAGAACCTGCAAGTCTCTATCTCACCTTCCTTTCACATTCTGTCACCGAACCCATAATGATAAAACCAAAGGCACGTTTTTTTTCCAAAGCTCTTCTGAGCTCCAGAAATAGCCTATGTGGTGCCAAAAGCCGCGTGTGGTATCAGCAAGCCCACTGCTGGGCTGTGCACCTCTCACCTGTACTGAAGTTTCCAGAGGGAGAAGGAAACTGTAAGTGGCTGGAGCTCGCCCGTGCTCCGACTCGCACAGCACAGTGACACAACGTCTCCGTCTGCATGGGGATGGATCTATCCCAACCTGGTCTGAAGAACAACCCAAAGCCGTAAGTTCATGAAGGCATAATTAGCTTCTCACTCATTATTACACTCATGGGAAGAGAACTGAACTATGACAAGAAACTGAAATTAAACTATATGAAGTTCATTGTGCTTTTTTTTTTTTTTTTTTTTTCCATAGGAACTTCTTACTGGTCAGAGCCTCATTAAGACGTATCAGCAAGATAAGAATCACAATTGGAATTGAGACTTTTTTTCCTGCAAGCTAAATTGCTTCTCAAAAAGAGTACTAAAGGTTAAATTATTTATTTAAATTGTCTAGACACGAGACGCTATTGCTTAAGAATACTGAATCCTGAACGGCAGTGTTTGGAAGAAAGCAGTCTGATCTCTTACAGAGAATGACAGACACTCGGGCACATTTTTCTCAATTTAAGATTCCAACTGGAGAACAAAAATATTTCCACCTTATTTCTCAAGCCTTCAAAACAACTGGATCTCATGCCACGGTGTGATTTTTCCACAGGGTATCTCAAGGGATTTATATTATCTAACGTCAGTGCTACAGGCAGCAGCTCCCTGACATGCTGATGCCAAGATACAGGCTTGGAAGTGTGGGAAGAGAAAACCTGAGGGTTGTGGTAGCTGGTTTGTGTCAGGTAAAACGAGCTTTCCTCAGAATTTGGCAATAGGAGCCTTTTTAAAAAATGAGGTAGAGCAGTAGTTATTTTTCCCCAGGGCAGGAAGAAAGAGCTATGCTTCTTGACAAGAAGGAAAATGTTTTACAAAGCTACAGACGAAGGCACTGGCACGTACAGGTGCAGGAGCCTGATTCTCTAAGAGCAGAGACTAGCAGGATACGCTTTTTCTTACTATACCACCTTAATTACTCGCTGAGAGGGCTGTTTGCACTACGAAAATCAAAGTAGAAAACCTTGTATCTCCTTCTATCACCTTAATTACTCGCTGAGAGGGCTGTTTGCACTACGAAAATCGAAGTAGAAATCCTCTCCTCTCATACGCATTCTCCCTTTCATTTTTGCAGAATTCCAGCAGACCCATTTCACCAGGCAGTTCAGCACTCAGGAGCTGAAGTTATTTTCAAGCACGGTGTGCTATCTGCTAACGCTTCCCGAGTGATGAGAAGCCACGTCTGGGTACGCAACATCCAAAATATGACAGGGCACTCCGCCAGACTGCGCTTTTAGCAATGCTTACTACCGTGGGCCTCGCGGGTGCACATGGTAATCATTTCTTCCTTTAATAATGGAAAAATGCTTATGGCAACAGCAGGCACGATACCCCAGTGACCTCTAATAACGTGAGAGATGTCCCGTACTCACCTATAGCCTCTGTTTTTGAAGGGACGATAAATGGACTGGGAAAAATAAAGCTTACTTGGATTGGTACTGAGGTTTTATTTTGCCTATGCAATTAAGTTTAATGCTATGAAGTCATAAACTGTGTTTATCTACTCCCCGTTAAATACCATCTTTGAAACCACTACATAAACTGGCTTGGGTCTTTTGTCATAGCTGCAAAAAGTGTGAAAAGTAATTTCTGACTGTCTGGTTTGGAACATGAGGCAGAAAAGGTGGATTAGCCAAGTAAGTTGGATTTCTACTTCATATTGTTACATTTAGCTTCTGCCTATTAAAATGTTTCCACCATTATCAATGCCACCTAAAAATAGTTACAAAATTACTTCTTTCCAATTTATCAAAAAAGAAAACCTCGATTAAGTCAATACACAAGGCCAACAGTGATGAATACAATATTCTAAACAGGGTTTATTGTTTCCAGACATTAATGTAATACATAAACACATTAAAAGGGGGGATATAGTAACAAGCAACCCATGAACAAACAAAGCAAGCCTTTGAAATTTTTGTTCTATACTTACACATGAAAATGTCCCAAAGAAGTTAAGCAGTTGTCAGTCAACATAGCAAGGATTTCAGATATAAAAAAAATCCAAACAACTCATTAATGAGTTTGTCATAACCAAAATGTTGGTTTGTTTTTTTTTTATTTATTTTTAGGATAAAAAAGAATAACCGTTACCTCATGCAGTGTACAAAGGCTGTAAAACAAATCCATTAATGCAAATGAAAGACTAACTCCTGAGGCTTTTTTCTTTTTTAAACATTGAAAAAACCTCAAGGAGTTTCACAAAATTAATTTCAACTAGTTTTCTTAAATCCTTTCTTAGCACTGAAGAAGAAACCTGTAACTTCCTCGCACTCCAGAAATGTATTCAGTTACCTCTTTCAATACAAGTGTGATCTTGTAATATATATTTAAGACTTCTTTCATTTACCAGAGCTTCAAATGAAATTAAGCGCAAAAATGTTTTCTTAGTGTTTCCCAATTATTGAGGTAAATAGTTGAAAAAATAAAAAAAATAAAAAAAAAAAGGAGGGTAGCAGGATATCAACTGTATGTACACCGGATGGAGGGGGGGGGGAAGAGACCAATCTGAAATACATGGTTACAGTACATAAGGGAGATGTGAAAGAAGGACTGAGGAAGAAGTAACAGCAACAATCAACACTTCCCCAACAGAGCTTTAAACCAAAGCCCTGGAAATCCACTCAGCGGAGAACCCACAGCTGAAAATAAAGCGTGTTTATTAGCACGTCTGGCGAGCTGGACTGTCGGGGAAGAGGCCGCACTACAGACACAATTATAGCCGCCGGCCGGACAATGCTGAGAATGCCAGTGCTGCTCCAACAGCTGCATCGCCTCCCGACCAACGACACGAAGACAAAAAGATCCATCAAATGGTGAGTTCCTGACAGCAACAACGGGGTCACAATTACAGAGCGGTAGCTTCCATAGTAAATAATATAATATATGGCAAACGAGAGACTGAGTTAGCAAAATGTGTTATAAAAAAGTATAAAAGTTGTTTTTAAAAACTTCCTAAAAATTTCTTAATTTGGGAAGGAGGAATATTCATCTGTGGCCTGGCGTTATTACAATAACTGAAGCGGTTGTATCAGATTGCTGGTGATCGACTTCTTGCAAATCAGAAGTGCCTTTTTGTAAAATGCCCCGGGGGTGAATGCCTGAAAGCTGGCCAGACAGTCGGGGAATTTTAATATCTGCAGCAGAATCAGCTGTGTTTGTAGAGGGTGGACTAACACTTGGGTCAGAAAGCTCTTTACTTGGTATGCAGAGGATAGTGTGACACAGAGGATCTCACAGATGATTTTCAAGTTCAGTCCCGCTGTCTGGATCCCAAACACAGTCCTGAGTATATTTATTTTGGGTTTCTTCCTTTTGAACCTGTCTCGTTGGCGAAGGCGTTTGGTTGCATGCCTGATGAGGCATGGCTTCGAGTCCCCGCCAAACCCATCTGAAAAGGCGACTCTCATGGAAAGGCATTTTGAACTTGGGGAGGGGGGGGTAGGGAAGCAAGACGCTGTCCTTCAGGATTACCAAACCCCAATTAATCTTCCTCTGTTAATAAGCTTTTTGACAGCAGACAAGTCTAGTACAGGCCCCTGCTGACACTGGCTACTAGCCATGACCACCGTGAGGCTCGAGTTAAGTGAAGTGGATCCCAGCTTCCACAGCCTGGTAGGGCTGAGGAGGAACATCTTGTGATTCAAGTTCACCTAAAGGATCCTCCTCCTGCCATTTCTCCCCATCGTGACCCTATTCAGCAAACCCCAAACTCACAGTGAGCTCTACCAGTTCCATCTGCTTTGAAGCCCAAGGCAAATTGAACAGTTTCCATCCATCTCTTCAAATCTTTCAAGTCCTTCGACAGATTCCCCCACCGCCCCCTCTCGTTCTGGGCATGTTTTTAAGCCCAAGAAAAACTTGCTGTTATGTTTAGATACGAAAAGTGCCACAAGGGACTCATCTCACCTTTCCCAGATTTCAAAGTTCATGATGCTATCAATTGAAGCCCAAGTCAACCCCATCTGTTGTTTAGCCACACAGTCAGGTCTTCTTAATCTTAAGAGTACAGTGGAGTTATTTGCTCTTCAAGCTGATCTGACCCGCATTCACAAAAAGCAATATTCTCTTTGAACACTCACATGCTGCAGAAATCTGATACTAACAACTCAAGGATGTATCGTAAATGAAATTTAACATTACAAAAACTCAAGATTTACAACATCGAAGATCCATTTCATTTTTTCTTAGCAGTTGCTTCTGAACTCCTTTGAACTGCTCCATAACTTCAAACCAGACACTTACTGCTCTGCCTCCTCCCCCTGACATTATCATCTCAGCCACAGATTCAACCTTATTTTAAACACATCAATACAATATGATGTACGTGGAAATGCCATGAACCACAGAAGAGTAAGCCTTAACATTCAGGAGAGCAGCATAACCTCTCTTGCCGCATCATCCCTTCTGTAGTAGGAAGGGGGGTTTATTGGTGTCTTTTGTTGTTTTTACCTTAAACATGAGCTTAATCCAAAACCCACATTCAACTGTACATCTTCTGAGGCTTCAGAAAATGCCTTCCCCCCTCCCCCCGCCCTTTAAAAAGAAAAAGAAAGAATCAAGGTTATATAGAAATGATTAAATACAAGGTCCTTTTGGAGTCCACCATCCAAGGGTGGTTATCCAGAAGTAGTCATCTCCCTCGATCTTGATGTTTTTTTGTTTTCGTCTTTTTCTTTCTGTCCTCAGTTTTGGGTTTCAATGCACAGACACATGCAGACACACCAGCAATCGCTTTGGGTAAGTCCGTTCCTTTGTACCACTTGTTCTTCTCCTTATCATAAACCTGGACTGTTTTGGAGAAGACCGTTTCTTCCCAGCTGTAGCCTCCGAGGATATAAATCTTGCCTTCCCAAACTGCCACCCCTGACTCGCTGTTTGCTTGCAACAGCGGAGCCACTCTGGTCCACTGGTTACACTGAGGGCTGTACGACTCCACGCTCAGAATGTCAAAACGAGCCATGGTTTCTATGTTGTCATCGCTGCCACCAATGGAGTAGATATTGTCCTGTAAGGTGCACATGCTGTGCCACCCTCGGGCGGTGATCATCGGCCTCTTCTCCTCCCAAACATCCGTGCGGTAATCGTAACACAGCAGGTTTTTTCTGTAGGGGCCAATTTGGTAATCATGGCCACCCGAAATGTACACAAATTCCTTGTAGACTGTTCCAGCATGGCCGTAGGTGAACCTAGGATGGGCAAACAAAGACGATCCCACTTAGTACTTACGGATTTTGTCAAGCTACACAAGCATTCAACAAGGACTGGCACCAAAGAAGAAAATAAAGAGTAACTAGAGACAGAAGAATCCCTAATCCTGTTAGTTACCCAGTAACTATTCTCATTCATACGGCTTCACCCTGCGCTGCAGAGTGCTCAGGTACCACAATCACTTTTTAAGGCATCCTTTTCATACCTGGTCGCTACAGAGCGCTAAGGTATGACAATCCCTTTTTAAGGCATCCTCTACAGTGTGTCATACAATAGAAGTAACCCATCCTGCTCTAGTTTCCATGGCCTTCACTCCCATTTTCCTGCTCCAGTGCTTGGGTTGGATCAGTCTGAAAGGGCCAGAGAGGAAAAAATCCACATCTCAGCAAGGGTTTCTATGACAGAAAGAGGAAATAATCATGATACCTCTCAGGCTTACCAGTAGCGATTAACCAAGAAAAATCAACAAGAAAACTACTACTGCCTTCCCCTTGCACAGCTTCAGGATCATGAATCCCATTTCTTACCCACTAGTGTTCACAGCCCAGTTTATCTGCAGTCATGATACATGTAGTGTCCTCTTCATGAGCTATCATCTGCCCTACCACTTCGGCTATACGGGTGATAACTTCTTTGTCACCCCAAGACAAGGCAACAGACCTCAGTCAATCAGAGACCAGAGTCCATGTTGGAAATAAGACAAAATGAGATGGCAGAACCAACATGATGCACGCTGTTTCCACAGGGCAGAGAGAAAACACAACAACCCCACGCAACGCTACAGGCTTGGGGAAGAGTGGCTTGAAAGCTGCCCGGTGGAAAAAGACCTGGGGGTACTGGTTGACAGCCGGCTGAATATGAGCCAGCAGTGTGCCCAGGTGGCCAAGAAGGCCAATGGCATCCTGGCTTGTATCAGGAGTGGTGTGGCCAGCAGGAGTAGGGAAGTGATCGTGCCCCTGTACTCAGTGCTGGTGAGGCCGCACCTTGAATACTGTGTTCAGTTTTGGGCCCCTCACTACAAGAAAGATGTTGCCTTGCTGGAACATGTCCAGAGGAGAGCCACAAAGCTGGGGAGGGGGCTGGAGCACAAGGCTTATGAGGAGCAGCTGAGGGAGCTGGGGGTGTTTAGTCTGGAGAAGAGGAGGCTGAGGGGAGACCTGATCGCCCTCTACAACTGCCTGACAGGAGGCTGTAGCGAGGTGGGGGTCGGCCTCTTCTCCCTGGTAAGAGGCAATAGGACGAGGGGAAATGGCCTGAAGTTACGCCAGGGTAGGTTTAGGTTAGACATTAGGAAATTTTTTCAATGAAAGGGCTGTCAAGCACTGGAGCGGGCTCCCCAGGGAAGTGGTCGAGTCCCCATCCCTGGAGGGATTTAGAAGCTGGGCAGATGAGGTGCTTAGGGACATGGTGGGATGGCAGGGTTAGGGTAACGGTTGGACTTGATGATCGTAATGGTCTTTTCCAACCTAAATGATTCTATGAATCTGATTCTAAGACCCCTTTGATCAGCTATAATAAAGCCACTACAAACCTAATTCTTGAGGCTGCTCTTAACTTCACACTAGGATATTCCTGACCAAACCCCTTTAAGCTCTTAGAAGTGGAATGCTAAGGTGAGGAACAGCCTCAGCTTCTTTGACCATACCCTTCCTGCACATGCCTTTTTCTCCGCTTTCAGGTGTGGGGGATGCCAGAAGATGTAGCTGCAGCACCAGCCACAGCGAACTGGCTCACACACCAGTACAAAGAGCCCAAATGATTTAATACCCATAGGGCTGCAGAGCGATAGACTCATCACGCTGCACTCAAGAGCCTCTGCTACCATCCTTTGTAGTCAAGGACTCAAGACAACTCAACCTCTACGGCAGACAAAAATACATTAGCATTACTTTAGCCTGGAATGCTTTTGAACCATGCCCGGACATGCTAGAAACTCAATGGGGATAGAACCTTGAGCTGTTTTTATTTCACATGGTAATAGTTTCTCTCAGCTACACAAACGGTATCATAACTTCTTCCACACACCTAAGTGCCAAGCACTTTTGTGCCAAGGGAAAAGGTGGAATAGAAAAGAAAACCCGCATTTACCCTGAAAGCACAACACTTCTGAGAAAAGCTAAAGATGTTTATTATTCCAGATGCCTACCAAAGCTTCTGATCCCTGACCAGTGTCTGAATCAGATATATTAACAGGCTCCTGCTACAAGAAACAGAAAAATCCTTGACACACTTGGCCTAAGAATGCTGAGTGACCAGGACAAAGGTCTTCCAACTACAGGGGCTGGAGCACCACCATCCCTGGAGACCTTGCAGAGATGGCTTCAGAACTGTACTGCTTCTTAGCCACTCAGGAAAAAGAAAGAAAGAAAAAGAAAAAAAGAAAAAGAGAGGACTAAGGCACAGCTATGAGACTTTATCCAAAAAGGCAACTCAAAAATTCTGCAGCTCACAACCTGCCTAACCATGGAAGTGTATAACTCATGCTCAGTGCTTCTGGTTGACATGAAATACCCTGAGCACATGCACTCCAGTTTTTGCACCTGCCCAGAAACACCACGGCAGGTACAGTGTACACAGATGCTGCTCTACCTTCTTTGTGGTCTCTTTACGGACAAGAACTGGGAGCGTAGGTCTCCAGTGGCACCCGGTCTGGTTGCTAGAGCCTTTGCTTCTCTAGACACACAGGAATGGGTCTTAAAAAGCCGACTACCTGTCTGGGAAGTGGGATGGACAACATGAATTCATTTCCCTTCTCAAACTGCACTGGATTTCAAGCCCACATCTAACCAGCAAGCTACCTGGAGGACGTACAGGGCGCTCCACTGTGGAGGTAGCATCAGCTAACAGATAGTTTTGAGGAGTCAGAAGGAGAAGAGCGCAATGACACCGAATCCTACGCAAAGCCCAGGATTACTGTACTGCTGACAGCAATCACATTACATTCAGCATTTGAGAAAAAAAAAAAAAAAAGACTGAGTGACTTTTGGAGAAGTAGGCTAAATGTTTTCCTACACTAACCGAGAGGTTGAATTCTCTACAGGTAAGCAAGCGATAGACATTTTCTCTCAAGCACATGCAAGCAGTCTAGTGTAGACAGCTACAGAAACCCCCCTGATGCTTTTCTTTTTGCCTCAATCTATGTCGAGTGAACAGCAATAGCTGCAAGAGTAATTTGAGAAGCAATCATATCTGAAGCATCAAATCAACCATCGATCTGTTATTTTCCAATATAGGGAGATTACCTGTTGAAATACGCTACCGGTGTTTCCCTTTGCCTGACTTCTGAAAAGCTCATCTAAAATTGCACATACCCTGCTTCACATTAATAGAAAACGGCATGAAATACAATGCACAAATTGAAAACAATCGGTAAGAATCCTTTCTGCGAGTCCTGTGGTTTAAACACGGGCGTTTCTAAATGTGCAACAGAAGACGACACTTCAATACAGTGGGTCCAGGCATCCTCCAACTGAAAGCATCAAGCGTTTTGGCAGCGTTTGCTGTAAGAGTGGCCAGAAAAAAAAGGAGGCAGGCATTAAGGAGAAAGAAGTTTCAATTCAGAACATTTGTTAGAGCCAGCTGCTGATTTCGAATGACTTACCTAGATAGAATGCTGCAGAAATTACAGTGTCTGACACAGTAACACCATTCACTGACTGCTGGGAAATCCACCGTTTATTTGATTGAACAAAAGAACACTTGGCCTAACTCAATGAAGCTTTGGAATCCCCTACTCCAACCAAAGTCCAGGTGAGCTGTGGTTGCTCTGAGTCTCGGTGTCCACCTGTTGCAATCCTGTGAGATTATTCCTGACACAACTAGCAGAGCAGATACCATCATCCGTTAACCTGTTCCAACACATTTCCTCATACAACTGCTTTCAGTTGTTCTGCCAAACTTTAACCTAGGGCCACTCAATTAATTTCACTGATGTCTGCAGCAGACTTTTTCGTGGTCTGCTCAAGATGAGAACACGTTGCACCAACTTCTGCTCTGCCAAGCTTGTCAGCCACTGCCGCTCCCTTCCAGGCTAGAAACTATGGCAGCAACTGCTCCCCAAGAGCCTGGGAAAATGGTGAAAAAAAAAAAATATAGGACCTCTCTGAAGAATGGGAAAGGTATCCAACAACCAAGGACCCTAATGAGAGTCAGGCAAAATTCACTTGTAGCAAACTTGGACCAGGTCCACCCTTTAGATAGCTTGGCTGAAGTTTTCCATGTTAAGCATCTGCCTCAAGAGGCTGTGTTTTCTTCTTCAGTAAGACAGAATTATTTCAGTCAAAACAGCTCAGCTCCTTCCAAGAAAGTGGTTAGGGAAAACAACGTGTTGTTTTGACCACGTTGGGGTGGGGGGAAGAAGAGATTAAAAAGAGCTTGCAAAGCCCTTCCTCAGAGGAGCATGACTGTGCCTGTGTACAGCAACACGGACGAGGATTTGGCAGCGGGCAGGAGGCGTGCGTGCTCAAGGACGCAACCATTGCCTTTCCCCTGAAAATCTCCACATGCATGGCAAGCTATAACCCTTGGGAAGAAAAAAAAAAAAAAAAACACCATAAAACCATTTTCTGCACGTTCAGAGTAGAAGCTTTAACAAATATAAGCCCACGTGGCTCAAATGGAACTACGCAAGCCTACACCCCAGAATGACCTCAACATGTGCCTATCGCTCCAGGGAATGGCCTTCCAGGCAGCTGCTGGCTTTGAGCAGTCAGAAACAACAGCAGAGCTGCGGGCAGGGAGCCTGCTCCTGGTGGCCGTGTACCCAAGAGGACAAAAAAAAAAACCCCAAACGTTTTCCCTTCAGAGGGAAGAAGACAGAAAAATGCAGGGAACAAGGCAGCTACGTTGGGCCAGGTTGCCCGATCAGGCAAATGAGGAAGCAGAAGATTGGAGCTTCTGATTTCTTCTCCATGAGGAAAAAAACTTTGCTGCTAGAATAGGGCTGGGAAAGATGTTATTTGGGTAAAAACAGTAACGAAAATCCATCTGAGGAACAAAAGCATGCGGTGGGGAGGGAAACAGAGATGAGATCAAGAGTATGTTGAAGGGAAGATAGGAATACACAGACGGAACGGTAGCTAGCACGCTTTCTTCTGGTCTTGAACAGATCACAACATTCTCTCTCATCCTTCCTCAGCTGTCAGCAAATCCATCTGAAGTACCTCAGGGAAGGGCTGCTCAGATCCCTTCCAGCAGCCACCCACACCCGCCAGAGCCACATCTCTCCGAGCGCAAGCAGCGTTCGCTTGCCCCTGCTTTCAGAAGGCTTCTTTCTGTTGTCCACCTCTGTGCCCATTTTTGCCTTTTGCAGCCTGCATAAAGTTCTCTCAAGTTTATTCCTTCTGTGCCGAAGAACGGTTGTTGCAAACAACACACTGCCCTATGGAAGAGCCCTCCAAAAGGAGAAGGAGGACTGAAAAGACAGAAAATCTGAAGGTAGTAAGCATCTATTAAGATCTACCTAAAGCCATATTCCCATGCGAGAGGGCAGCTACATGGAAAAGTGGGAAACCATCTAGTTCACTACCAGCTGCACAAACGGCCGAGCTGGCACAAGGGACAGTTAGCATGGGACGAGGACAGAGCAGGCAGGAAGAGAGGACACAGAACTATTTTTTGGGGATGCAGCGACAACTTGAAATAGTCGCTGTCGCCTAACCCTGCAGTTGAGCAACCAGCTAAAGTCAGCGTAAGCCAGGTCTACCCCATAAGGGGGACTTTTACCTAGTCCAAGCAGATCAGCCAGGCAATCTAATAAAAAATTAACCCCCCCCCCCCCGTCAAAGTTCACTTTTAAATGCTGCAGCTGCAAAATTCCCAAAGCCAACACACAGGTAGCAGCAGGAACATGCAGAAAACCTGCCCCTTTTTGCACCGCTTACAGTCTGCAAGCTTCCCCGGGACCGCTTATATGCTGGGACAAAAATATCCATACCGGTTCTAAGGTGTTTTTCTAACTACAAACAAGGTAGTCAGGTCCCATCTACATTTCTTTGCAAAATGTTAAAAGGAAAAAAGAAAAGCTGTGCTACGATTTCTGTGAGATGTTACCAGGACCTCACAGGTCACCCCAATAAACAGAAAGGCTTAGGAACTGAAGATAACACTCATACACAGCTTCCCAGGAACGACTGTGGTGTTTAGCCCCAACTGCTAGATCTGCCTGTGCGAGCAGAAATCAGATGGAAAAAAGCATCCTGCTTCTGAAGAGCACTCGAGCCCAGCTGTTAGCCTGGATCAGACTCGCATTGCAGCACCTACCCAAAATAGAATTGGGCAACAGGCTTCTGCGCCTTCACTGGCTGCCTACGGCTCCGCAGCTCTGCAGCTAAGGGAATAAGGGAAAAAACACTCTAAAATCAAATTGCAAGCATCTTCTTCGTGACGCTGCTAAGAATGCAAGCACTGCTGCTGAAGCTGCAGGTTTCAGACGTCACAAAAATCACCACCCGTATAACCAATGTAATTCCCATGAATGTGAAATATTACTGAATCTGAATAGCTGTTTGTGAATGAAACGCTACCATACCACCCGTATGAAATCACCACTCAGAGGTGATTCACACCACTAGCAACGTCCTGTGCTGCTGTTACAAGAACAGCTGCGGTACTAAAGCCTCTCAACAGCAGAGCAGCTAAGTTTTAACTCAGTCTGAGAGAAAGAGAGGTCAGATTTGCCAGGGTTATCTTCTTGCAATACAGGTAAACGTGGTTTATCTGCAGCAGCCAACCTGAGCAGCCCAACAGAGAGAAATATCTTACAAGGAAAACAATCACACCAAGGTGACAAAGTAAGGCCAAATAAATTATAAAAGCCTTTGATCCAGATCTAAACAGTGCCACTGATAAGATTCAACTCCAAGCGACCTCAGGAAAAATATTTTAAGAACAGTAGAGCAAAATTACAAGAGCTCTCCCTCCCATCCTTCAGACATACCTCAGGACAAAAATTAAAACCAGTCAAGCTGACGTGAGGCAGGCTGCCTGGAAGAGATGGTTGCTCAAATACCAAATGCCGATATGGTTTGTTACTGGCTGATACCATGTTGGTTATATATCCCCTTGCCTCCCTTCTAGGGACACCCACTCATCAGCTGAAGCTCCCTTTACTACCGTTCTTCAAACACAGGATAACTTTCCAAACATCTCTATTACCTGGGCAAGCCTGCAATATAGGACCACGAATCCTTCTGAGGACTGTAGGTCTCAACGGAAGAAAGTGCCCCGTTTTCATTCCTGCCACCAACAGCTACCAGCATGTCGGTAATAGCTCCCAGGTAGAAATCTACACGGCGCTGTCTCATGGAGGCAACCTGTCAAAAAAAAAAATAAAATAATAACACGCTGACATCTATAATGTCTGCTAAGCAAGCTGACTTCAGGTATATTCACATCTGAGGACAGAATCGTTGCGACTTCCCATTTATTTGGAAAGGAGAGCCACAGGGTTTGACCATGATATTCGTAAAATACTTTTGTTTTTCTGCAGTAGCATGTTACATTGCATTAATTTTCAAAAAAAGGGGACACCAGGAAGCATCTAAGAGACAGGTTACTCTATAAATGTTTGTGTTACATGGGCCTCCTTCCAAAACTCTACAAGGAACATATATTGGAATCGCTCAAAACCACAACTGAACCATGCAGGATGATTGGTTCATACGGGAACCCGCACTGGCCGCGGGGCTTTACAGCAGGACTGGAAGTGAATAACTTGTTCTAAGAGACGTTTAGCTCAGACATTTGACAAGCAGCAGAGACATTTTCTGTTTACATCAGACCCATTTTTTTGATTTAGTTATATGTGCTACTGCTTGAGAAAGATGACCTAAGCAATCACCTCCGTAAGCCCGTTCTAGCATTAGTCCCCAAAGTAATCTCAAGAGCTGCAGGTGGATGCTGACCAGGAATTTCACAGATGAGATGCCCAGATCCCAAGGGAAGCTGAAAATCTGTCCCAAACACTTTTGCTGTGTGTGTAACCTAGGCATTCCCTCAAAGGATTCAAGTAGCTGCTTTTTCAACTTAAACAACTTGTTATTTCCATTTGCAAGGGTTGCTATGTCGGCGATTCTAATGAGCCCTCTCCTTCCACCAAAAAGAAGAAAACATTCTAAACATTAAGGACTTTAAACAGAGAAATAATACAGCTTAAGTCTCACCTTTATCCACTGGTTACAGCGGGGATCATACCTATATAGGAGATTTGAAGCTGCATCCCCTCCATTGTCTCTTGAAAAGCTGCCTCCGGCTATGAAGATGAAGCCTCCCAAGACTGCAACGCAGTGGTGACTTCGTCTGGCTGGGAGAGGGGTTTCTGCTACCCACTGCCCCTTTCTGATGTCCAAGAAGCAGGTATCATCACTCAGTTCCAGGCACCGCTCCGAAACCTCCCCGCCCACAAAGAGGAGCCTTTCCTCGCAGGTCCGCAGGGCCGTCCGCTTGTTTTGCAGCACCGGCTGAGCCGTGACGTTATTGTGATAGTTCACTGCCTCCTCTATAAACCCCTCACAGTTTGCTTCTTTGGGAAGAAGAGAGCAGACAGCAGGCTTGACTCGATGGAGGAGATCGCTTTTAGGTATCAAGGGAAAATGAATGTTATCCAGAACCTGGTAAGCCTCATTCTCCCTTTCTGGGTACTGAGTAAGCCACTGCAAGGCAGCCTGCAGCAAGTCGTGCTCGCACTCCTGCTGCACGTTGCTGCTGTCCAGGTATTGGCATAACTTCTGCAAGGAAATGTTCTGCAGGAAGTCCGGGGTGAAAGACAGCGTGCCGAAATTCTGCAAGATGAAAGAATCAATGTAGGAGTCAAGGCGCTTCAGGTTGTAAATAGAGGCAAGCTCTTGCAGGTACAAATAGTTCTCCTCGCTGACTTCGTTCTCCAGATACTCGCAACAGAAGTCGACCACCTTCCAGATCTGCAGCAGGTGAGCCGTTTCGAGCACGTAGTCGATGTTGCCTCCATCTAAAGACAGCTCACTGCCATAAAGGAAATCCACCACAGCCTTGAGACCAATATACGAGGCTCCAAAAAGTTCGACCTCTTTTTGGTGAGCTTCTCGCATACCAATGGTGAACATAGAGTTGAAGTAGTCACTGCAAACAGCGAGGAGGTTCCGATGGGCAGGGACTCTCTGTTCATCCACCACGAGGACAATGTCACAGAAGAGGCCTCGGTGCCTCTGCTCGTTCAGGCTCTGAAGAACCAGACTAGAGTGGTCATCCCACCTGTACACCTGGAAGAAACAAACCGGGTCAGGCAGACGTTATCTCCACCAAGATAAATTTCAGGGCGCACAAAGTGCTTTCCCCTTAGATGTAGCCATACACAAGAGAGAGAAAGCTCACTTGTGTCGCACATTTGTAATAAATTCTGACTTGAAACAGTTGGCAACCAACATAGTATGAGCCCAAGCCCCTCACCCTCACTTTGAAAGGCCTAGGCAGACTTTTACTGCTTCCCACTCCCCTTTTTCTTTTATAATTTACTCCTACCTCCTCCACAATACTGCATCCAAACCTCCTCCCTGATGATTTATACTGGCACGATTTTCTGAAACTCTTCCACTCATTGTCTTCGAGACATCTTCCTGACATTTTCCTTTCTTACTTGTCCCTCAAGTGACTCCTTACAGAGTTCTTCTCAACTAAGCTACTTGCTAAACCTTTCCAGCGGCAGACACACGCAGCAGTACGCCAAATCTCCATTCAGCCCATGTACTGTTTGGGCTAGTGCTTACCTGACAGCTACCCCCTTCCCCTTAAATCTCTTCAGAACTCTGCATTTCTAAGCTTTTTAGGGTAAAATCCCTCTCTTTCTTTCCGTATTATTCCAGGCACACACACTGCATTCAAAAATAATAGCTGCTTATTTATGTGCAAAGCCACGCATGTGGATAACTTATTCCCATCAGACTTCTACTTGCTTCCAGAAGCTGGGGTAGTTTTTGTTTTAATGAATACGACTAAACATTTTTATTTTAAAGAAAGGGGAAAATGCCCTCAGAATATGTCCGTTAAGTGCTCTTCTGGGATCCCTCTGCTCCAGACATTCTTCCCACCACTCTGTACGTGCCACAGAGCTTTTGAGGCAACCAGCATTGGCCTCTTTCTCACAGACTGGCGTTACCAGTCTTAAGAAGAACCAAAATGGAAACGTTCTGTTACCCCGGCGTGTCCTGCAGAACACGTACTGAAGGGGCTGGTCACCCCAGTATGTCAAGCGACGCAGCCTTCAGGACCATCCTTCCGGAGGAATGGAATGCTTGATGGTACAGTCAGCTACCTTGTGATCTCTCTTAATAAAAGCCAGGTTAAGTTAAATGCAAATACGTAACTTTAATTACCAAATCCAAAACAGGCAGAGTCGCAGAGCCTGTAAGAACATGCAAGAGAAATGCAAGGTGGTAGAAGGGAAGCACGTCTTGATATCGTACCCAAGTTAGCGCTGAACAGAGCCTGGGTCTTGCCCAGTTCTACGCCCTCAGACTGCATTCCCAGAAGTGACACCCTGAAAATGTGTCTCAGCCTGTATCTGCATTGAAAACAGTCACACGGGTGACCTTGGGTCTCTTCGAGCCTCTCAGGCAGTCAACCTTGCCTTCACCAAACCATTGCTTCTGCTAGAAATCCGACCGATCCGTGGCTTTCCTGCTTTCCCAAACAGAAAGCCCACGATGACTGCTGCCTGGCTAAGCCACGAACTGGTTGGTTAAATCATGCTGAGACAACCCCTCTACTCACCTGGATGGGAAAGGTTCAAGTCCTAGAGCCAAGTTTTTTTCCCCTGCACACCACCCTCACTCTAGATATACGCACTCTGCGGACGTAATTTGGCAAGGCTGCTTTTACACGATGAGATAACCAGGACTAACGCACGCAGCTCACCACTGTCCAGACGCGATGGCAGCCGAGCACCCTGAGCTAACGCCAACCTGGGGAGCCTGGCCTCCCACGTCTGCCCTTTAGCAGTCGGTGGCGTAGCGACAGGCAGCCTGCCAAAGGTGAGACCCAAATTAATAACCAAACGCGCTGCTCTTAGCCTGATATCCCAGCGGCTTCCCTTTAGTTTTGCTTACGCTCTTTTCTAAACAACGGAGCCCAAGCTGCCAAAAAGCCTTCTGTAACTTTGTACGTGCAAGTGTGCAGCGTTAAACCAATCTAAGTGAAGATGCTTCAATAATTATAAGCTTTCTGGGCCAAAACTCTTTAATTTGCCTTATACTCATTGCCTCGTCATATCTCTGAACTTAAAAGGGATCTGTGGCATAGAGAACAAAGTAACTTCCACTGAGGAGTAAAACTGCTAGAGATCTGTAGCAGATGAAAATATGGGTTTTAAGGACCGTAAAGTATTTTATCTTCATTTTTCTGAGGTTGAGAAATGCTGATATCATACAGGAGCCCAAGTGGAGACCAAGGGATGGAGAAGGTGGGAAGAAGAATAAATGCATAAATAAATACACTGCACATCTGGGGCAACTCTGCTAAAGGACAGTGGATGAACCGGCGATAACCGACATCTTACAGCACCCTCTTCTGAACCAGACTGATGGGGGACAGTTATTGGATTAAACCAAAAACATGTTCCCTCCTGTCTCCGTAAACTGGCTGATCATTTCCCCCTAATATTCTCTAATACCACCACGGTGCATAACAAGATTACACCAGGATATAAGATTTGCCAGAGGTCCCTATTTACTTAGCTGGCTGTCGAGTCAGCAGCATAATCCTGGCTGCAAATACGGCTGACAACTGGTACTCCTAAAATCCTTGTTGCCATGTAGAACTGCCGCTGCTACTTCAGAAATCAAGCACAAAATCATCACGTGTGGCGTTGGCTGGACTCAGAATATGTTAACACATTTCAGCCACTTAGCAAGTTCATTCGTTCAGTGAGCAACTACCAGCAGCTGAGCGCTGCACATTTCAAAAGTAAGACTAATTTTATACTAAACATGGAACATCTTTCTCAAGCTATTTATATTCCGTAGAACAGCTTTAGCGTTATCTAGTAATTCCAAGTTTAACAGATAGTGACAGCTGCTGCCTAAGCAAGAAAATAAAACAATGCTGTCGAGTTAATTAATTTTTCATGTGATGAATTATTATTACATTCAGACGGAACCATTTTAAATGGTAGACAGGATCAGCAACTCAGGGAAAGATTACATTGGTAGGGATGTATTTAAAAACGAGTCCTATTTATCTTTCATCAATTGCATTAGAGCAGTATTTTAACAACTTTCGGATTCGAAGATCCGATTTCTTTCAGATGGTTAATGCAGTACCACTGCTCGTCAGGGATGCAAAAGAGAAGGAGATCCGCCTCATTCAACTTTGATAAGACAACAGTGATACAGGCACTGAAAAGTTCCTCCCTTCTAGCTGCTGTTGGCAGGACAAGGGACTTGCTCTGCAGCATCTGTAACCCGGTGCTCGCACCAGAACGGAAAAGCGGTTTTCACAGGTATGAAACAAAGCGAACATCAGCATTACAGCCGATATTAACATCTCCTGAATCTTAGGTCAACATCCTGACGGACTTCTCTGGATTCCCAACTAAAATCACTGTGTTTGTGCAGGCAGAGATGCTGCACAAAGAAAATAACCTCACGAACCCAAGGAAACATCTCGAGTTCACTGCAACAACCACTGCTTGCAGGACCAAGGCTCCGGTCTTGTACAAAACAAAGGCTGAATCTAAAAAGTAATCCCAGCTTTGCTTCTGCAACTACCATGGATTTTATGAGATGGATCAGTACAAAAAATTCCCCAAATAACCACAATGCATTTAATGACTGAATTTTTGGTGTAGAGAAAATACTGTGCTGGGATGATGTGGGTTTCTTTTTTAAGTTACGAATCACGATGAGCAGACGCCCATTTGCTGCTGCCTTTTTTTTTTTTTAATCCTTAGGTAGCAACTTCTTCTATGAAAAATATTTGAGCAGGTCGACCACCGTTTTCACACCTCTTTTGAAAAGCTCGGAATATTCGCATTCCTCCAGAACAGTCCATCTGAAGGAGAGCCTTTACACCCCTTCTCCTTATTTCTGTAACTCGCTTTTTTTTTTTTTTGTTTTTTTTGTTTTTTTC